TATATGCATATCATTTTTGTTGTTGATGTTTACGCCTAAATACTTAAAATTATCAACTTTTTCAAATTTATAATTATCCACTACTATGAAATCTATATTTGGTGGTCTTTTCGATACGACCATGTACTTAGTTTTCCCCTCGTTTACATGTAATCCTATTCCTTTACTTGCATTTATGAGTTTAGATGTTGAGTTGATGATTTCCTCTTTGGTTTCACCCATCAGCACAATGTCATCTGCATAAGCTAACATAACTTGTTCGTTGCTTATCTCTATCCTTCTGTCATAGTTTGTGTCTCTAATTATTTTTTCAGCATTAATTAGTTAGCGTACCTCCGCTATCAAGTCGGGTGATGGTCGGCGAGCTTATCGGACGCCGATAACAAGTCTTATACGGAATTGTCATCCGTCCTAAACTGGAACCATAACGCATCTAAATCCGCAGCGTTTAGCGCAAACTCGGGAACTAAATCTGGCTCCACTTTAATTCGTAATTCCATAGCATGTACAGCTCGAATTTGCGATATAACAGCTGTACGCTTCATCTTAGCACCTGCGATCAGGCGCGTAGTACGCTCAATTTCTTTCTCGTCAGCCATTACGAGAGACGTGTATTAATCAAGTACGAATAAAAAAATTAATTATGTCGCCTATAGGCTATAGGCACCATATTTGCTGTAGAATTACTTAATTTTCACAACACGTAAAGAACTTTATCTGTGCAATAGCGTGCTTTTTTTTTAATTACACTTTCCAATCATTTTTTATAAGCAAATGAAAAAAAAACAAAAAAACAAAATGTTAGAAGCAAATAACTTTTATTGAATTTATGTTATCCAAAATATAGGCACGCTGTTGCATAGATAATTTTCTACTCGATAATATGTTCAGAAATTTTGGAGCCACTACTACAAATACAGAAAGATAAAAGTTGTCCCGCGCAAAACAGTTTTTGCAATGTTGTTCCTTTGTAAGACGGAGACAACCCACGCAGTGTGGCGTCCTCTTAAACATTACCTAATGGCTTGTATACAGAAAACAGTCGGAAAAACCATGATTAAAGAATCTAATCAGCTCTCAACGATTTATCAAATGTAAATTATTATTATGACGGAGATAGCGTGGGTAATATCCGTTAAGTCGATTTAAGTACAGGTGTACACCTGGCCATACGTGAACGTGTAATAATAACGTTACCTACCATTAAATATAATGCCACTTACATTCATAAAAAGCCAAAAAGGCATATAAAAATATGCTTATAAATAAAGGTTTTTTATATAGTATTCATAATGTGTACGAAACAAAAGTAGTATGGTGTTGTATCGTTGAACTTACAAACATAGTTTATTTATTATGTATTTATTTTATATATTATTTCCTCTACGTTCCTCATTAATGGTTTGTAAAATATTACACTCAATACTTAATATAATCATATTATAAAACTTGAAAATGTAGCTACCTTGTAAGAATGTAAGCTGTTAATGGTAATTTAAAAAAAAGTTGAACGTAAATCCACAATAATTTTTTATGAGCGTTTAAACTTAGAATTTGTATTATTATTATTATATAACTGTGAGAGATGGACAATACCAAAAATTGTTATTACAATATTCGATTGATAGAAGATGCTAATGTTACTTCCATACTTTTATAAGCTTAGAACATTTTGTTTTTAATATTAGCTACTTATAAAATTTAAAAATTTTTAAAAATAGTGAAACTAGGTCATAATATTTTTAATTTATAGTAAAATAAATAGACATTTTATATTTTAAAATAATATTACATTTGTTTTTAAATTATTTAAATGTATAAAATAATGATTATTATAAGTTGTTGTATTAAGCTTTTAAGTTATGTATAATTTAAATTAAGTACCAAAAAGAAATATTATTACTTAAAAACTATATTATGAAAAAATCATGTAATAATTAAAATTCAAAAACAAATTATACAATTGTATGCACTCAGCTAAGTAACAACATAAAAATAGTATATTCGTTGAAACTAGGTTAAGACAACATTTAAGTAATAAAATAACAAATAGTATAATTTTATCTATAGTCCATAAATATGATTTGTCCAATGACAATAAATAGGTTAAATTTGATTATATAAAGAATATGAAGCGGAGACATAAAAAGGTTTTTTTAAAGTTTGATGGGACTCAGTTAGTATTAAAACAAGGACTCAATTAGTATCATACCTATCTAAAGTGTCACAGTACTCAATTAGTATAATATCTTACTACATCCCAGGACTTAATTTGTCCTAAAAGGTCTTATTGGGACTCAATTTGTATGCAACCTCGTTGTTCATACTGCTAGTAGGTAGGCCAAGCCTGTTATTGGTTGGTCAAAAAGCATGAATATTCAATACAAGACTCTTGATGACTTATGACAATAGCAGTTGAAGAATATTAAAAATACATAAGCATGATTTTTTTTTTATAATCATTTAAAGTTCAAATGTTGACAATATTTATCAAATTGAAAATTGAATTTGTAGTTATATATGTATACAATTTTCAGTTTTTATAGCTAAGGATTAAAAATAAGGTTCCACTTAAACAGTTTTTTCCATAACTAAGAAATCTAAAAAATATATGAATACAGTTATTTTTTACAGACATTTAGATTCAAATTTGGACAAAATTGCATAATAACACAAATAATAATGGTTATCATTTTGTTGTAATTCGGTTCCAAAACAGCCCAATTTTTCATAAGTATATTTAATATTTTTCCAGCATCACTGAAAGTTTAAGAATAATATTTATTCAACTTACCGGCTACCATATTTAATAGGTAATATCAATATAAAATATCCTAAACTGACATACTCTCTCCGCTTAGAATCGTTTTTCGTATTCAATGATATCATATCATTCAATTCAAATTTAATACCATCCATTACAGCAGTGTTTCCCAAAGGGTGTGCCGTAAAATTTGAAAGGTATGCCGCGACAACTTGAACTTTTTTCATAAAAAAAACATAAAATGATTTTTTTTCAAAATATTAAAGTATATAATACAAATAAAAATAATTAATACAAAAATTAACTTTAAAATTACAAAAAAAAAAATAATTACAAATTTTAGTATGAACGTGTGCTTGATGTTGTTTGCATAATAGTTCAATTCTAGGAGGGATCGACGATAAACACACCCGCATTTCTTGTTCAACTGATAAAAATCGTTCACGTTTCTTATTTTTAATATTGGTTAGCGCGGAAAACCCAAGTTCACAGAGGTATGTTGTAGAAAATGGTAATAATATATTTATTGCAATTTCTGTAATTATCGGATACTCAGTTTTAATAAAACTCCAAAACTGGAACAGTTTAAGTTCATTAAAATATTAAATTTTAATTTCAATGAACGATCAGATTGAAGTTCTGAAAGTTGTTCTTGTTTAACTAACCCTAGATGTGATATTACATCTGATGTTACAGGAAAAGAATTGCGCACCCAATCATATTCGTTAATAACCAAAGATGGGAAGTATTTTGTCATTATTTCTTATATAATTTTAAGATGATTTATTATCAAATCAGATATTACTTCTCCATCAGGATCAACATCTGCTGTTAATGGAAACATTTGCCGTTGTTTTTTCTACTTGTGGTATCCAAAGATAAATTGTTCGTAAAAACCCATTTAATTTATCAGACGATGTTAATATGTTTTAATCTTTACCTTGCATATTGGAATAATGTATATTTAAATGGTTAAAAATATCAGCTAGATAAGCAAGTTCTGCAGACCTTGATGGATTATTTAATTGAGTTACGAAATCGCTGTTTGGGTCTTCATTATTGAACAATTGCAACAATTCATTTTTCATTTCATAAAATCTGTTTAAAACCTTACCTTTTGATAACCATCGAATCTCAGTATGTAAAATTAAAACTTCACAACGAGAACCAGCTTCTTCGCACATTTTTTTGAGAGTTCATTTAATTTAATTTACCATTATTACCAAATCAAGAACATTTTTAAGCTCATCTGGAATCAATTTAATCATCAAAGCTTCACGATGTATAAAACAATGGGTTGAAATAATATTTGGAAAATCTTGTTTTAATCTCGAAACAAAGCCTTTAAATTTGCCAGTCATTGCAGGAGCTCCATCTGTGTATAGGGAATCCAAAGTGTGCAGTGACTTATAAAAACCAATAATAATGTGCCGCGATAGAAAAAGTTTGGGAACCGCTGCATTACAGCGACCTATGTACATTGTACAGCAGAGCGACATCCACTTGCCCTCTTTTTTTATTTTTTTATTTAATAATTATTATTTAAAATCATGATAATCTATCATATTTATCATAATAATATTTACAAAATTCAAAACAAAACTGATAAAATTAACTAAAATATAATCATAGGCGTGCGCACAGGGCGTGCCGGGCGTGCCCAGGCACGACCCGTGATTTTTCATGGGCCGAAGCGCCCTATGCCTTAATTTACCGAAATTACCAAATAGTGGATTTGAAAAAATTGAATAATTCACTATGTTCACTCTGTAGTTGAAAGTTTGTATACACTATACAGTATGGTGTATTATAGTCGTATAAACATATTATTTTGACTAGTATCAAAATTGTTTTTATAGTTTATTTATATAATTGATGTATAATATTATGTAATAATAACTATAAATAATAATATGGTAAAGATTGTTATCTTATTATTGGAATACCGAATAATTGAATACAAGTTTACCGTTTACGTAGGGTTTTCCATCATCATATAATATAATATAATATCATATCATGATAATATGTTATTTTTACAAATTCAGTACTATTGTTATTATTAGTTATTAGTTATTACTAATATTCTCGCGTTCGTGTGCTGTGGACTGACGGACTGTGTAGCGTGTAGTGTGTACACAAATCATACCTACACGATACGTCTTTCGCGTCCGTGGTGAGACTTTGTTGTGTTTTAATTTTATTTTTAAATTGAATTTGATTGTACGATTGAACGATGGATATTAACAAAAGTATAACTACAAAAGGAGGAGCTGCTAAAGAGCGTGAAAAAAAAAGAATTAAGTTAAATGTAGCGGCAAAATCGTGTCAAAATATACAACACTTTTTTATGCCAATAAATAAAATTAATGAACACGATATTGACGATCCTGCATCTGTATCAAACTTGATCTTGGTAAGTATAATAATACACAGACTATTTATTTTCTTATAATCTGTAGGATATAGTACATTACATGCATATAGCTTAGCTATTAAATTATAAATTAAAGTATTAAATGCTCTACTCTTGAATACTGTCCTAGTGCCCTGCTAAGCAAAAGTGCTGTTACTTGAAAAAAAATTATTATTTGTATATTGTATGCGATAAAAAATTTTAAAATATGCATTTTAAATTTTAAAAGATGCACATAAAAATAGAAGCAAAAATATATTTATTTATCGAAATACAACAATGATTAGCTGATTGTCTTAATAAAATATAATTGAGAATAAAAATTAAAAATTAATAAATGTATATTTATTTTTATAGCACTTTTGCTTAGCAAGGTAGTATACATATATTATTTTGTATTTTGTTTTAAGAAGCATAACAGTGAAAATCAAATAAATGATGAATGTGATAATACAAGTCAAGAAAAAGAGCCTAATTTAAAAGTTGTCACCTCATCTGATACTCAAGTAATAGAATGTGAAAATACAAGCCAAGAAGATTACATGACAAATTTAGAAGTTATTACTTTATCTGTTTGTTTTGATGGAGCATCGACCATGTCTGGTCATTTAAATGGCGTTCAATCAAAATGCAAAGAGAAAAACAATAGCATAATGTATGTACATTGTTACGCTCATTGCTTAAATTTAGTGTTGGTTGATTCTATATGTGAAAAATCAAATTCTAAAGGAAAACAAAATCGATTAGTTTTTAATTTTTTAGGAACTGTTCAATTCATATATAACTTTATAGAAAGTAGTCCTATGCGACACGCAACTCTGGAAAAAGTTGCAAAAGAAACTGGTGATAAACTCCACACATTGAAGTCATGTTCAAATACAAGATGGGCTTGTCGAGCAGAAGCTGTGAAAGCAATTATGAATAATTATGAAGTTTTGATTATTGCAATAGAAAACATTTGTGAAAATTGTTCAGTGCCAGAGATGAGAGCTAAAGGAATTGGTTTATTATATCAATTAAAAACCTTTGATTTCATTTTTGGTATGCATATGATGAATCCAATTTTAATGTTAATTTTAAAAGTTAGTACCTTACTCCAAGAACCAAATCTTAATCTTGTTTTGGCAATGAAAAATGTTAATAGTTTGAGAAGTACATTAGATAGTATGAGAAATGATGACAGTGAATACAAACAAATGTTTGATAGATCTGTTATATTATGCAAAAAACATGATATTGTTATTCCAGATAGTAATTCTCGCAAAGTTTCAACTCGTTTAGATTCTAATTCATCAAATCAAGCTTTTTTTAATACAAAATTTGATGAATTGAAAATTACAGTATTCTATCCATTACTTGACAAACTACTCAGTGGAATTGATTCAAGATTTAAGCAGGATACATTTGACTTGGTTGATGCTATGGCATGTATGTTAAATATGAATTTAACTCAAAATACTACAAAAATATTATCAACATTTTCCAAAGTTTCAGAGGAAGATTTAATTACTGAACTGAAACTTTTAAAAAATTATGAAAATGCTATGCAACTAAATGGTGCTTCTAGTAAATCTATTTATGAATGGATTGATTGGTTGAAAACAACTGGAAATTCTACAGTATATACTTGTGTTTTTAAAACTTTGAAAATGTTTACAATCATACCTGTAACTAGCTGTACTTGTGAACGTGTTTTTTCAAAATTAACTATTGTAAAAAACAAATTACGCAGTACAATGAGTCAAGAACGTTTGGAGTCATTATTACTGCTTTTCACTGAACAAGAAATGGTATCAAAGGTAGATTTAAATGCAGTAATAGATGAATTCAACAGTAAGGGGAACAGACGAATGTCTCTCTAAGGACATAAAATATATTTATGATTTCTACTGTTTCTAGATGACGTGAATTTCTGTAATTCATACATATTATATTTGTTATACTTTATTCTAATTTACTAGTACTTGTATTTTTTTTTTTTTATTTGAACAATCAGGTTTAATATAAAGTATTTATAATTATATTATGTTGTTATTATTATTATTATATTATTTGTAGCAATTATTGCTATTGTGTACTATTAATTATTATTATATTAAACTATGTAAGAAAATATAATATGTGATAATATTAAATAGGTACTTTTATAAAATTTAGATTTGTTATTATATATATAAAACGGTTGACTAAGTGGCCGATGATAAATATGGGCACTACCTGCTTTTAGAGTCTGCGCACGCCTATGAATATAATATACCATATTGATATTTGTACTATGAAATCAGTTAATAAATATACAAACATTTTTTAACATGAAAACAATGGTGTAATTGTCGTTTACATCTATAACTTTTTAAATAAAATTATAAAAGTTTAACTTTGTATTATTACAGCGGGAACTATAAAAATAACGATGTTTGAGTAATAATTTAATATTACATAGATATTGACATGTTGTGGTGTAAACAGCGAACGCCTCGCGATCTAGTGGTCATATCGCACACCTTATTTCGTGTAAATGGAATGACGGAATAAAATATGGCTGAGCCCGACAGCCCGTTGAGTGCGTCCGTTGTGCTGACGGCAAGGCGCATGCACATGTCAACAACGTGGTACACCAATATAATTATTTTTTTTAAAATCTCAATATATTACCAATATCGTATTAACTAACACATGGTATAAAAAATAAGAAGTACGTTCAACAAAATCCTTGTTTTTGCACTAGTTCTCATATGCGCATCGCCTTTATTGTGTTTTTGTACCTAAGATTAATAAAATGTATACGTGTGACATCATGTTGAGTTTATTGTTGGTTACATAATATTATACATTGCCCCTTAAAAATATTCGTAATCTTATCATTGATCAAAAATACATATTTTTATTTCTTAAAATATGTCCTGTGAACTAACCCAGATTAATCTGATCAAATTTCCGAAAAATAATTTAAATTCTCTGTGAGGTTTACTTCATTACTTGAGATCCATATCCTCACATTTTAAAATTATTTATTTGTGTTAAATATTATTATTTTAAAAACAGTACAAATTCAAAAAATAGAAAATATGATTTTCAAGAAAACCCATAACGAATTCAACTATGATTTTAGGAGTTGTACTTGGTTATTAATTATTATAATAGTCTGTATAATTGGCATAAAATATTAAAATATATTTTGGTAGAAAACAAATTGATAGAATCTTCTTGTATAAGTTTCTAAGCAGTTAACCAACAAATTGTTTGTCAAGCAGTCAATCATTTGGGACTGTAAGTAACGAAACTAGAAAACAAGTTTGGTTATATCAAGTTTGAGTTACAATTATCCATGGTGTAAAATACATTTTAAATATAATTTATTGTATTTTTGTCTATTTCCTGACTATCTTTTTATTTACCAATGTTAACATTTAGATTTACTAATTTATAAAAAAATAATAATATCGTTGATAAAAAACAATGTCACAAAACCCAAAGGCTATTCATGATTCCAGTAACATCAAACTTTACAATTTAACATTTCACATTTAAAATCTTTAAAAACAAATTTTCATGCCTATTTTTTATATTTAATATTGTATCTTTTGATAATACTCAAAACTTTGTTACTGAATCTTAAAGAACCACAAGCTAAAATAAATCAAGAACAAATTTTCATTTAGTCAATGGCAAAATACGCAAAGTCAATTATATTTGTTTATACCATTGAATTAAATTTTGATAGTCAAAATATGAATAAATTAAGTTTAAAAAAATGAAATAAAAAATAGCGACTTAAAAGGTAATATATACACAAATGCACATTGTATGATTCTAATACAAAAAAATTCAACACCGAGGAATGAATGTTTGTCATTGGGAGGGAAGGGAGAAGGCAGGACAACATACACATACAGCACAATCAATAGTAGTAAAGTACAAAATTTCCGAACAATTTAAAAAAAAACATATAGAGGTAGGTAATTAAGTGTTTTACACAAACAAAAATTCAAATTTTTTTTAGGGGTAAAGCAACAGTAAGGAAAACTTATTCAGTTTTTATTTGTTTAGCTGGTGGCGGTTCACTGTTCTGTGAATTGGAATCTTCAGAAAAACCCAACTGGGTGGCAAATTCGGTTGGTTCTTGTGAATGAGAATCGCTGACAGAAAATGCTGCAATAATAATGTAAAAGAATTTAGTAGAATTATAATGTAACTGTGTAACGATAAAATTATAGTGATTAATGACAGTATTATTGTGTATTTTATGCGATCTTACAGGTATTTGAGTCGTCAGCCATGGAGAAATTTGAGTGCGTTGCCTCGATAGGTCTTTTGCCCAACATGTTTTCTTTGTTCGAGTGAGAATGTTCTTTTGACTTTTTCTTCTGAAAAAGAAAATTATAGGATTATAAACAATTTGTTATATGATAAACTGTCAACATAATAGTATAATAGTATAGTAGTATAGTAGTATTTGACACAATTATGAATTAAGAGGACACCACACCCTCATGTGTGGTTTTTGTCTTACACAAGTACGACATATCACATTTTTGCTCTCTAGTTTTAATAGTGTGTTATTAGTTTTGATATTAGAGCAAATTGACCTATTATCAAACTTTTAGGTAAGAACATTATCTGTGTTCTCTCATTGGTTTTTTACGGTATTTCATTTTTAAGTGAATTATGAGAATTTTCAAATATTAATACTTTACTTACTCATAACTCACTTAAAATTTAAGTAAAAAACCAACGGGAGAACATAGATAATGGTTTTACTTAAAAGTTAGATAATAGGTCAATTCAATCATTATCAACACTAACAGCACACTATTATAGCTAGCCAAAACACAAATTTGCTATGTCGTACTTGAGTAACAAGGAGGCAACAAATGTGAGTACGACGTCTTCTTAATTCTTAAGTATGAAAATAAAGTGCTATTTTAATAAGTCTAACCTGTTCGTTGGATATTATGGGTACCCATTTGTATATTTTCATGGTAGTCTCTCCAATTGTTACCCATTTCTTTTCCCTAGAACAGTAAACCAAACTATGAAAATATTGTCTTTATACTGTACCTGAATTTTAACTTAAATATAGCTAGAGTTGGAAATTGTATTTAAGCAAGGAATTCAGACATTTTTAGACCATTTATTCTTACTTACCTACCTTATAAAGTAATGGAGTTAAATATCCTATACAAATTAACAACATTTTTCTCAGTACACTACCCGAGACACTACCTATATAATTTATTGTTCTTTAAGTAAGTTAAATAATTAAATTGTTATGTAACTAACCATTACTAGAAACATAAGTACTTAAACACGTAGATTAAATAATTAATCATTTAATAGAATGGTACATGGTGAAAACAATTTAAGTGTGAAATAATTTCTACTGCAAAAAGAAAACTTAAACAGGCATAGAGTAATTGGTCAATATATAACCCGAAAGTTAAACTAAATTAATGTAAACCATAAAATTAGTACAGTACTGAGGCATGTACTAAACATATAAACGTTTAATAATAGGTAATTATAATAAAAGTAATTTCATTAATGGGTGGCAAAAGTACCTAACTGAATATTAATATGTATTAAATTTGTACTGGTTGTTTTGTTGACAAATTTACACAGCTCGTTAAGAATAAAACAACTGAACATCCAGAGTATGCGATTTTTGTGAGAAAACAAATTGTTTTGTACGATGACTACATTGCGATGACAGAATGTCTACCACAAATGTATCCGTAAAATATATCAAGCACAAACGTTTGCACCCAGTGGTGGATATAATCCATCGGCGAGCGACACGTTGAAAAAAATACTGACAGAGGACGACGTTCAAATAATTACACTCATAAGGGGAAAAGTCGAACGCAGCATAGTTTGTTAGGCAGATATGATATGAAAAGAAATGCTCTCATTTATACTCTAAATTTACTTGTTTGTAGCACTCACCACCGGCGAACCTTATCCACAACTTGCATGACCCTCTTAATGTCATCTTTGGCCCTGCTCCTGGTCTCCGCACGCACTGACCGAGACATCATAATACAAGCGACTGGCGGCGCTGCTGTGTGCAAGGGAGGTGTCCAACCCAAAACGCCGGACGGACGGCTTAAAGTGGTTGATCGGTGGCGGCAAGTGCGATGCACCTCCCAAATCGGGCAACCGGACGGTCGGACAGGAAGATGGCCCCCGAGAAACGACAACGACTCGTTGCGACGCCAGGTATGGTGCCCGGTGCCGGATCACGCAGACTCTGTAGTGCGTATTCCTGTAGACTGTAAACAACCACAAAAAATAATCGATAAAAAAATTAAAATCCCGAAACTGTTATCATATTGTATCAGTCAACGCGAGCTGTGCGCCATCTGGTCGCGCGAACAAACGGTATCACTTGCCGCTCAATCGTAGTTGTTATTTTCAAATAATATTATATTACGTTCCAAATACCAATTATTTAAAAAAAAAATATTTTTTCGTTTTTTTTTGGGGGTTGGGCGGAGGTTGTAGGCCCGTAACCACTTAAATTGAAAGTTTTAGGGGGGGGGGGTGAGGTGCCAGGGAGGCATTTGTCCTCTTTACATTCGGTAAAAGCAGTCAAATGTTGGGCTAGTTATTGGTCAAATAACGTAATATTATGTAGGCATAAGCACTAAAAAACTATTGTTACGTTAATAATTAATAGTTATAGGTTTTTAGTTAAAACATAAATTTTTATTGTCAGAAATTCTAAACAAAATGATCACTTTTAAATTTATCCGAGATTTCGAAAATACCTCTATACCTAACTATTACCTACCTACTTAATAGCAGTAACCTATATTCTATTTACGTTTTGTGCTTTCTAGCGGTCTTGTTTGATGTTGTATTTTAATTTCTTCGATATCTTTAGAAAAATACCTATAAAATGACGCCTTCTGAACGTCTTTTTTGCTGAGGTTATTTAAAATGGCGTTTTTGTCGCCAACACGTATACAATTTTATAAGATGAGCATTGTTATTCGAGATTTAAGTGTAGGTAAGTGAAAATTTGCTTGTGGACAAAAATATTAGTTTATTTTTTGGTTCAGTTATGTGGGTGGGTAATGGGTTAGTCAAAACTTTTGCCCTCTCCTATTAAAAACTGAAATGACGAAATTAGGGACATAATATCTGCTTTAACGTATAATACGGCGAACACATATTTTAAGTATTGCACTTTAGGTCTATAGCCGTATATAGCACAAACTAATATAGAATTTACTATCTATTTATAGAATGTATATCCTAGTTCGAGTCGTATAGCCATATGTACTATATATAGGTAGTTATGGGTAAGAAAAAAAAATGTTGATGTAGGTAGGGATTATTCCTAGTTCCTAAAGTTCATTTCTTTTATGAAAAACATAACATAAAGTCATAAAGGCAACACATAACACTACATATTGTTAGCAATTTAATTGTTGGGAAAAATATTTAAAATCATTTTCTAATATCTCTTTCAATATTTATGAAAGCCAAATTTGAAAACCTGCCTATCTTGAAAGTTAAAACGTACCTAGTTGATATAAACAAAATTGTTGATTGTTATTTCTTTACTTTTCCATATCCAAAACAAAATATTTTTTTCTTCTATTGATAGTCGGTATTGACTTATAACTTGCTACATATTTTATTTCCTAATAATGTTTGTGTAGGTGAGTGTGTGAAAGCGATCCACAGTCAAGTCCATAGAACTCATGTTTTTGCAATTTGGTAGGTATATTGGTAATCCTATATCCAAGGACGAGTACCTCGAAGTCATATTTTAAAATTTTTAATTTTAAAGAAGGACTCACACGTGGATTTTTTTGGCTCACGGAAAACGAATGTTTTTTGAATTGTAATGGTTACAAAAAATAAAATATTTATTATAATTGGATATAATTTTAGACCTGTATGGCTGTATCTATTTTATAGTTGGTCAAAATCACCCAAATAACAGTGTTAAAAATATGTGTAGTTTACTAGTTTACATTTAAAGGAGTACGAGACAGAGTAAATCCACTGGTATTTCATTTGTCATATACAATACCTTGCAGAATCAGCCTTACTTGATAAATATATCTGCCATATAATATAAATGGCCCTTACTCGAGTTATGCAAATAAGTTTTCGACCAATTTTTGTCGATATATTTAGGAATATTTACGAATTTTCAGACTTATTTTCAATAAAAAACATTTTGAATTCAGTTCACCATAAAAAACTATCACATTTACTTTCTTGATTTTCATTTTTAATAAAGTATATTATGGTAATTCTAACGAAAAAAATCTGAATTTTGAAAACTTCAACAGTTTGTGATAAATAAGAAAGAAAATTTAATGTTACTTAGTAGGTACCTAGTAATGAATTCAGAATTTTGAGTAGAGTCCAGGGGGGGGGGGTAATTAAGTTAGCTTTAATTAACTTAAGTAAGATATTAACGAGATAGTCATCATGCTTATTATTTCGGTATAACAAAACAATTATTTTGACTCACAAAAACGTCCGCGTGCTCAGCCTTTAAAACTCTATTTTTTAACTTTTCTATGAAATTACATAGGCTAAAATTGGTCGACAGCTCATTAAATAGTTTTGGCCAGGTAGACATAAAATATAAATTATAAAAAAAAAATCAATTAACTTTTTAACTGTTAAAAAATAGTCAATTTTACCTATAGATTTTTCTTTAGCAATGCAGGTTTCCGAAGCTGGATTTTGTTATTTATTGTCTTGTAAGAATCACGTGCAGTGAAGAGTTTCAGACCTTTAGCTTTAATTCACAAATTTACTACACTCCATTAAAGTTAAAGCTTTACAAATAGTGCTTGAACTAGTTGAACTGGGAGAAAATTGAAGTGGGATGCAAAAGTGTATAAAAAAAATGGCGTAGGTACTTGAATATGAAAATGTCTTATTGATTAGGATTTCATAAGAAGGGGTACGCATAAATATTTTCGAAGAAGAAATGGACTCCGTCCTCTCGCGTCCTCCGCAAATCAAATTTTAGAAACAAACCACTAAACTTGTAGGTATATACTTGAAAAAAAATGAGTTCCGGTTCAGAAAATTGTCCATTTTGAGTAGGTAACTACTGCCAAAAGTACAAAATGAGATTTATTCCTATTGAAATAAAATATATTCGTATAGTCCGTTTAGAAGTAGTACCAATAGACTGTACATAATAAAATTCTTCAAAAATTAAAAATCAAGAATGTATACACGGTGACCACGATTTGGCAAGAGTTTTACATTTATATGTAATATTGTTGGCTGGTTACAGAAAATAAAATAGTTATTACTATTGGATATAATTTTAGACTTGTATATACTTGGTTATAACAGCTCAAATAACGGTGTTCAAAATCTATGCAGCTTACATTTAACCTATCCCCTCCCTCCCTCCACATCGTTAATTATAACGATGTGTTGTTTTTTCTTTTACTCGACGCTAAATGTAACTTACCTTTTTATTGGGAAATTTTTGTGGACCCCTACCTATGAATAATTCGTCCCTGCTACTGTTGGACCACCGTCTACCACAGATTAAAAATAGTAAGTAGTCAAAATAGGTAATTATAAAACATCTCCGTGAGGAGTATTATAATAATGGTCGGTGGCGGACGACGACTATACCAAATCGCAGGTGTCTACTATTATACATAATTTCTCCTTGAACAATTGTTTTGGTACTGGGTGCGGGGTAGCCGGGTAGATATTTAAAATGATTTTTACTAAGGTAAATATGCAATAGCCGCCATTAATAATGGTCGTAGGGATATTCCCAACGTACTAAATGCCATAGCCTATTTTTTTAATACAATTTTTATCTACATAGACTATAATTTAATACATTTTAAAATGTCTGTTCCGTAATGAAATTATTATTATTTTCATTATACCTAGGTACTAGTGTACTACTAAAATTAAAAGTATAAAAATGATTGACCTAAATTTTTAAATCACAATAATTTTACACAGAATTATGCATCCTAAATGAGTATGTAAATTAAGCTACTTAGAGACAAGCAACATATACAACTTCATGCATATTTTAACATAGTATTTTGAAATAGATTTTTATATAACTTGTTTCATTGTTTACCTAATTTGAATAGTTTGAATCAAAGTGTGGTAGGTACACAAGTATGTGAACTATCCCAAAAAAAAGATTAGATTTCTATAGTTAACTTTATCGGTTATTAATTATTATGTAGTTTGTATCATAAAATTGTTAGTTAAAAAAGAACAATTTTTAGTAGCTTTTTGTGTTGACAAGTGTGTTTATGAAATGTGGAGCACATAATATTCATTGTGCTCCTGGCAGCCATACAAATATTAGCCACAAACATCAACAAAGCTGCTAGTACGACATGGTCTTTTGGATCATATTAAAAGTACGCACAATACACTCTACCTATTTTCGTCATAACAAGCAGTTACAAGTTTATGGTCGAACCAATAATGCACTACTATGCATTGGCCATTTATTGGCGTCTACCACCACTTTCCTCTATCATGGCGTGTTAACTACCATCAATGATATAGAAAAACCTAGTTGAATAAAATAATTTGATCTTCAAGCTTAAAAAAAAGTTGGATAAGTATGTTGTTTTGGTTAGTACCTATCCCAAAATAAATTTTTTTTATACAATTGTACACCATCTTATGTCATTCTTGCTGACACTGGATAATATGTGGTTACACTCATCCTCTCTTATTTGTATTAAGTTTCAATTGTCATAAGATTAATTTACTAATAATCCACTAAATATCACTATAATTGCACTATTGAAGTAATAAATAAAAAAATAATATACGTATGTTATATTGACATAATAACAAAATTAACTATATTTTTTAAACAGTTTACATCATCAAAATAATATATGAGTATTATTTCCATACGCAAATTGTCCTAGCCAATCTGTCTTGGCAGGTGAAGGAGATAACACCATACTTGGACTAATGTCCATGTTATCTGGAAGCGATGAAGGGATTTTGTCAATATATCTTTCTCCTCCTTTAGAACTTTTAATACAATCGATGTCTCTGTATAAATCTGGTATGATCATATTCTTCGATCTAAAAATAATATAAACAATTACTACCTATTATGGGACATACTTTAATGTAATTAAGTAGCAATTTTTAGTAGAGTAACTAATAAAAATAATTAGGTAATTTATGTATTATTTGAAAATCTGACTGTATAATACTTTATAAAAGGTGTACAAAATTAAAATTGGAATAATTCATTTCAAATTTAATAATATTTTGGCTGTGAAAGGAATTGAAATCAACAAATAATTGAAAGTTTTAGATTAGATTTCACAATTGATTTTTAAGAACAGAATGGGCATAACTATTATGTTAACATAAAATAAACTATGCTATGCAAATTTTTATTAAGAATTAAAATATTTTAATTAACAGATGATATAACATAATTTTTTTTTTAAATAAATAAAAAAGTTTACTTACCGTGGAAGAACATATGGATCAAATGGAAAGTAAGAGTACAACCATTCATCCTTGATTGATTGATCAGTGACTCTAATGTGACCATCCATTACCACATAGCAATAAGTCAATTGATATGTTTTTGTAATAAGTGCAAAACGATCAACTACTTTTGAACAACATAGACGCAATGGACTTAATCTACATGTGACTATATTAGACAAATTTAAACTTTCCATAAATCTAAGATCTGAAAAAAAATAATATCATCATTGTTATTCATTAAAAATATATGTAAAACTGTGTATGGCGAATGAAACCAAACAGTTAATTAAGTATTAACTCATAATCTAAGATTATAAAATAATTTGTAATTGTTTTATTCATAATATGGATACTGAATAATGTAAAATTAATTTATGAGTATGAAATTTGGATTCTGTAATGAAACATTTATTTATTGGTTTCTTTTAAATTCCTAATACCTACATATTTTTGTATTAAAATAAACAACATTTCCACTATTTATACTTTTATGAATAGTGATTAGACCTATACTTAGTGCTTGGTCGCCACCTTGGATATTTCTAACTTAATCTGGGGTCTAAGACAGGGGCATCCTCAAAAAATCAGCTCAGTGGGTGCAAAGTTAAATGTATGTGATACATACATAGGTAGTCACATATTTACATTATTACTCACTGATTTTTTGGTTCATTAAAAATCCCAGTGGGTCCTATGGCACCCACTGGCCCCTCTCGTCTAAGATTAAAGGATTTTCAAGACCAGGCATGTCAAACACAAGGTACCTGGTTCATTTTTATTATGGCCCGAGGATAGAAACTATAATGAACAATTAATTGAAGAAAAAAACATTTTTCAATTTTCTTTTCATGTGACAACTATGTTACTGAGAGGTATACATTATGTTACTTTCCTGTATTATCTTCCGTAAAACTGTAATTAAATAAGTATTGTATAGTATTGTAAGTAATGATTAAAATTAAAAATTTGTATAAAATTGTTTGATACATTATTTTTATTTGCGGTAAGTTAACTATTTAATATATTTGGCCCAATTAATATTTTGAGTTTTACATGCTTGCTCAAGACCTTCAGCACTTTTCAGAACTGAGGAGGTGGCCACTCTATAATTTAGCCCGTGGGTTTCGTAAATTATTACAGCAAATCCAGCATGGAAAGTATTAATATAATATCCATCAGCTTGTGAAGAGGATTTCAGAATGAGACTCGAAGGCAAAGAACTAGTTGACCAGATAAAAAGCATTGGAACATTGAAATTATAACAGTTTACATAAAATAAGTACGATCATTGGGACGGTATGTCGAGCTAATCATAAACATTAAGTAACTGTTGTTTAATGAAATTATACACAACTTATGTATTCTAAGTTCAATTACTTCATTATATATTTGTAATGCTTGATTTGCAAGGTAATACAAAGACGAGCAGTGACATGCGTCCATAGCGTCCGAAAAAATAAACTCTTTTGTAAATAAAATTTCCCTTTGGAAAAGAAGACTTCAATCAGAAAATTTAGCAGACTTTCCAACACGAGCTTTCAAACAATAATATTGCTTTATCCAGTTCCATAAAAACGCAAATTTGTGCAAATCTTGATGTGCTTGAAAATGTATTTGGCAATTATTTGGATTTTACATACTTGAGAGCAGAAATATGGTTACGCACACTGCACAGTTCTTTTCTAGTAGACTTAAATGCAATATTAAAGATTCAGACCTTGTTAAATATGAATTAATTGATTTGAGATCAAAAGAAATGGCACAACCAGGTTTTCAAACAAAATATGTACTCGAATTTTGGTGTTCGTTGACAAAGGCTTATCGCGAGCTCTAATTACATACGCTACTACATAGTTCTGTGAGTCAGAATTTTCTACAATGGTCACAATTAAAATTAAAACAAGAAATTGATTGGACATTAAGGATGATATGCAAATTTCTCTGTCCGATACGATCCCAAATTTCAAGGCAATATAGCAAGCAAATGGCAAATTAAAACTTGTTTTCAACTATTATAAAAAGTGATTAATCACAATAATTTAATATTGTATTACGTCTTAGTATTATCGTTCAATTAATATTTTTTTTTTGTTTGGGGAGGGGGTCCATGATTATATTTTATACTTTAAAGATATTCATGGCTAAGAAAAGGTTAAGAATCTATGCTCTAGACCCAATCCTAAATAAGTTTATCTGGAGATACATAAGAATTATTATAGAACTATTATACTACTTAAGAAAAAATCAAAACTTACTTCGTTTATTATCCATTAGATCTTGATGTCTAAAAGAAATTATATAGAATAATGCTTGACACATTGAATAAAATACTGAATGCCATCTTAATAACTCTTCATCTACTACTTTAACAGATTTATCTACACTATTAATATAGTTATTACACCACCTAGACATTTCAGATAGAGTATTCTTCAGCACGCTGAAAATTATAAACATACATTTTAGTATTAAATATTATTTAATATTTATTGTATTCACAATATATTACTTATTTGTAATGAATGGTGCTCTGCAATGAAAACTAGCCAAATAACCAGCTGCCGCCTGTCGCAGAGTAGATGGAGATGATACATCACAACATTTTTTCAACAACCAATTACTAAAATTTTCAGCTAAAGTAGTTTTAAAACTAAGAAAGTAGTAAATTACATATTGAATATGACTACTGTTATATGTTGGAAGAATTTCATTTTCAAATATTGATAACAAATCATGGTATAACAATTTAGTACTGTCCCAACTGAAAACAGCATTAATGTTAATAATTATTTTTAAATTGAACAATATTAAAAAAATTAAGTTCCTAGTTGATATAAAAATTATTTATTAGTTAATTTGAATGATACTCACAATAAACTACCATCAGGATTATGACAAGTAGTTTTCATATAAATAAATATTCTTTTGAGACAAATGTCCAATGTATCTGAAAAATTTTCCTCTTCAACTTTATTAGGACAAACTTTCATACAGCTTTCATCTACATCCATTGGAAATATGTCTTCAATTTCAATATTAATATTCGATTCCAATCTGTCTAGTTCATCTTTGGGTATATGAACATCAATTTCTACTAATCTGCAAAAGTAATATAGATATTACACAAAATATAAAAGTGTATGGGATTCAAATTATTTTGATCAAGTTACTTGTTGATAATGAGATTCAGAATATTTTTTCTCAAGGATGGTTCATACTCAAAAATGTAAAGTAAATTGTGTATGTAATGAAGATGGGAGCAAGAAGTATTTGTCTTGTATGGGAACTTTTTTTTAAGAGCTGATATTAATAAATCCTTTGCTCTAAAGAAAGTTTTAAAAATTACAAATTAGTACTTATGTAATATATATGTTAGTTTAGATTTCTTACAATGGAATTGCTTTCAAGAGAGCTTCAAGAGTCACATGGACATTTTTAAATCCTCTTTCTTCCTCTTGAGATGGCATACCATTGATACGATCACAAACAGCACTGTCCACTATGAAATATTCAAAGAATATATATATATAATAGTTTTCATGTTATATGTCAGTTTTGGCATTACCATGAGAAAAACATGCCACGAGTTGTTCCATTGCAAATTGTGTATGATAGCTGTAGGCGGTACAAACATTGAGTAAAAATAATCGATATTCCTTGACTACATCATCACTTCTGTTCATCCATTTTAAAATCTGACAAAAAAATTTACACAGATGATAGTATTCTTTAATATACATAAGTAATTTGAAATTCTTACCAATATAACTTTTACAAAAAGGGTAAGATTTTCATTTAGAATATTCACACAATTTCTGGCATCTTTCAATAACTTGATAAGTTCATTATCCTGTAAATTATTTCATTATATATTATATTTATAAGTTTTATTTAATAAATATGGGAATACTCCACATAATTTATGGTAAAATATATTAGGAAAATACTTTCATATCATGTTTTATATTGTTTGCTCCACTTACATTAATTTCGGTAGCCAAGTCTCTAATGTCACAAATTAGATTGTTATACTCTATTTGATCATCTTTATTACTGCTGTCATAATTAATTAGTAATAATTTCAAATTATTGAATAAATCAAAACACACTCTTCGACCAGGTACATTATTTAATGTTTGCTTTCCACATTTTTTTAAAATGGAGGGTGAGCTTATAGAACTATTCAAAGTGTGAATGCCACTTTTTGGAGCACGGAAAGATGACATCTGGAACTAAAATCAAATAAAGATATAAGTCAGAAGTACAATTTTGTTTTATTGTGGTTTATAAGTACCTATACAATTGTTTTACCTAAATAATATGTAATTAATATTTATTGAACCATGTGTTGATGAAATTTTAATATTATGGTAGTAACATACCTACGAATGAATTTATAGAGGATTTGAAAATGAAAAAAATGAAATATTAGAAAGTTTTTAACATTATGAAAATATGTTTAGGTATCATCCTTTAGCATAACACAAACTAGTTCATGGCAGATGATAATTTCCCACAAGTTATGCAGGTACTGATGAATTGTTGAGAAGTTCGTGAAGAGTGTAGTGTATTCAGAGGACACATGTGTTGTCTCTGTCGTGCAGATGTTATACATACCAAATTTTATATTTACAATAACCCGTTTTAATTGTTATCAATATAAAATTAGTGTAATTTGCGCTATTATAAAATTTAAAGTGACTTGTAGGATTTTAATGTAATTTTAATTCTAAGCAAGTTATGATTATTTTATAAGGATCACTTGATTTGTGATTAAGACATTCGAATTGAACGGCGGGTCGAGTATAACATATAAAACTACTGCCCTAGGGGTTTTCTAAGAACAGTAGCTCTTAATAACACAATAAATACCGTAATGTAAACGTTTATACTTACGAGTCGGATTAGCACATAGTAAATTGTATATACTCCGTGATAGGTTTGATGTCCGATGGAAACCAAGTACTAACAATAGTTATTCGTGTGAAATATGAAACCTACTAGAATCCCGATAGGGCTCTAATACTCTATGGTCACTTCGATTTGCCCTGCCGATCTATACGTGAGAAAAACGCACAAGAATGGTCACATCGAATGTATCGATGACGATTGGCGATCGCCTACTCCCGAACATGGAACGTTATCAACTCGTAACTAGTTTGTAGGTAGAAAGTACAAACAAAATAGAATATTATAATGTAAAAACCTACTATTAATTATTATTAATTAAAATAAAATTAATATTACGTATTTACAATTTACGTTTTTCGGTTATCAATAATCTAGATTTTAGATACCAAGATACCACTTCCTCCTATAGGGATCGACGGGGACGGATAGATAAAAATATAAAATATTATCAGAAAAATTTGATGGGTCTTTAAAATTGTGACATACAGATCTAAGATCTATCAAATATTCAAATATTAAAATATTCAAATTGTATGTATTATACTATTATATTATCTAGTAGATAGGTATGTTGAATTGTCAAAACAAAACCCATGTGCGTTTTCGCTTTACCGTTCAAATGTTCGATACATTTTTGAGGTTACAGACTAGACAGCCACTACGCACTAGCACCACTAGTCACTACAACAGACTATAGAGGTTACACTTACCGGTGCTAACTTCAAATGTTACATCGTGTCCCGGGTAAATACTAAATTTCAGAAACATAATACAGAGCTTAGAAAACACGACTGCAATGCACTATGGGATCGTAAAAAATAAAAATGAAAAAAAAAGTAAGAGTACAAAGAAAATTAGAAATCTGCACATAATTATCCTAAAATAAGGAACGCATCTCACCTGGAAATCCTGAGGCCTTGATTTAAAATATTTTAATTAAATCATTATTGGTAGCTCGTAGGTAGGTCATACTCGAGTATAATTTTATGTCAGGCAATTTTCACGTAGTGTAAAGTATCAAGTATCAACTACCTGAATTGGTACTTAAAAACTAAAAATATACGTCAACATTTTCAAAAATGAAGAAATTCGTATCGCCATTTCCTACAGGATATTCATTAATCGTTAAAGCATTTTAAGTATTTTTCAAAAACTTAGAAATTAATAACTATATATAGGTACATTGTATAAGGATAAAAGTGTGGTGGTCCCTTGGAATATCGCCGCCCAGCATATAACTGGGTGATAGGACTATGAGGAACACGCGTGGGCAGACTTGAATTTCGGGATATTTCTAAGATAATTGCAATGTTTATTTATTATTTGTACTTTTGTGGTCAATAACATCTAGGTAGTAGGTAGCTGTTAAATCATAATAAACTATTTCATGCAAATTAAAAATATTTTACGTTTTATTATTTTTTTATCACGAAACATGATTTACTTCTTACCACACATTTTAGAAATGACATTTTATTATAATAATATCGATTCAAATATGGGCCTCAATTAAAAAATTTCGAGGGGTGCCCTGCACCCTATGCTATGAGGTTGATAAGATGCAGATGAGTTATTTATTTAGTACCTACTTAACGGAGGATGGTAAATGCATGTTTCAATATTATTATACTGTCGTCTGTCACAGTTTATTTTAATTTTAATATAATTTTCTCATCTTCGACGACGGTTTCTGGAGGCTGGAGCTTTGTGTCAGACTACGCAACTAAATCATAGGGTTACTAACTTAACCTCAGGCTGGAATCATACACAATTTATTACCTACATTAAATTATATAATTTAAGGTAGGTGCAAACTACATAAAGTAACTATGTCACTAATAATAAGAGTTCTTTGATTACTATAATATTAATATATAAGAACTAAAAAACCTATAATTCTTGATGGTTGATGGACAAATAGATGAAAAAGTGTAATAAAAATTAATGGGTTCATTAGTACTAGTACTATTATAGTATTATAAACGATCGCCAATGTATTGTTACCTACTTATAATGATAGTCTAATACTCTAATGGATATTATGTTAATAATAAATAGAATACTTGGTACATCTTTTCTAAGCTCTAACCAACAATTAATAGAAAATATTGCATAAACTTTGCAGTGGTAATATTTCCCAGATCAAAAATCACCCCAGCCATAAAAAGTCAAGACGACATTACCTCTGGCGCTTTTTTTTAGGAGTGGACTGGATCTCCTTTGTAGTTTGTACTTTCTAGTTTGGCATTCTTCTAAAATAATTTATGATTTATAAAAATTAAAAAGTAATATCAATGTAGTAGGGTAACACTTTCACCACAAACCTTTCACATTTTATCATTTTAAAGTCAATTAAGAAAAAATTTGCTTATATTTGTTACTGTTTAATTTACACATGTACAATATGTATTTTGTTTCTAGCAAATCAAACTAGTCTAATTGCCAAACTTAAAATTATTTCAAGTTATTCATTCTAAGGCTGACTCCTTCAATTTGCAAAATTAATTGAATACCTAATTAAGTGTTTGTAATAGTGTAAATGTAATGTTGATAATGATAAATGCTATTTAATTATATTTATATGCAAAAATAACCTTTTTTTAAAAATTATTCCCTTAATTCCCATCCCTTACAAACACTGATAATTAAATTCTATTAAAGACCTAGAAGTAACTTTTTCTGATCATAGAATATCAACATTTGTAAAATCATCACAAACTGTTAGGTTAAGCTCATGTGTATATTTAACTGCTTAAGGTGTAACACATGGTACCAGTTCAGTCAGCATTTGACTACGGTTGTTATTTTGACTACATTTCAACTTATTTTTTATACAAGTTAAATTAATTGAGTGTACAAAATAATATTTTATGCTACTTAAATTATGAATTATCACTGGCTAGTTGAAATAGTAGATAAACAATGGTCACGACAATCAACTTAATGCAAGCGCTCCCCGAGTTCTAGAAATCTTTTCCTTGGTGTTATTTTTAATCATTTTTAGTCATCTTTTGGGTATACTTAATTTGTTGACTTCCTTTAACACTAGGAATTTTCAAATGTTTCAAACCATACAACTTTTAACATATATTGATAAGTTGCTGGCTTCATGCAATAATAATCTCAATATCATTGATTTGTTTCTTTAGGAATATGCCAAAATATTATATGATAGCTTTCTAACTTAACAAGTTTGCCTTTCTATTTTAGTTGCGTACCATTATATTTTTGTACACATATTTAATAAGAAAATTGTCGTCACACTTGTCAAACAATGTTTAAACTGTATAATAATATATTATATTTATTATATTAGTAAATTTACTGTACTTTATGTCTTCGGACGCTTTTTTTTATATTAAAATAACAATTTCTAGAAGGCAGTTTATGAAACTAGAATTGAAATTAAAAAGCAATTTAAGGATTAATAATTTATTAGTAGACAGGAAAAATAACAATCACAACACAGCATTGATTAATGATGTTGATTCACTAGTTGCCCGAGCCAATCAGTTTTTGCCGGTGAACTTGTAGATAACATACTTGGGCTAATATCCATGGTATCAATAAGCAATGACGATTCTTTGTCTTCTTCATCATCAATATTAGCATGCTTATTTATATCATCCTCAAAATGTCTATACAAATCAGGCATTATACAATCTTTGGACCTAAAAATAATAACAATTATAATATAGTCACAGTTGCAAACTATAACATGTTTACTTATTTTGTAATAGTTATAAGAAATTTCAAAAAAAAAGCAAGAATAAATAAAACATTTTTTTTTCTGTTTTTGTACATAAATTATAATTTCCAAATAACTTTTAACCCAATATTTTTGTTGTCAAACAAATTGAAAAACTTATATATTAAAAGGTTTATTTGAATATCAAAATATATTACACTAATCAGTTTAAGAATGCCTAGTTTTGTGCATTCGGAATAAGCTCAACCTTCTTAATACAGAAGTTGACAATGATTGTATACTGAAAATTTCTGACAAATTATAGGTCACAATCTAGACAGCTATGTTGTAGTGGGAATAGATGCTCTTCTATCTAGTTTCGAAACATTTCGTGCATCAGATAGGCAATTCTTAAACCGAATAGGGTATAAAACTGACATTATTTATAATTTATATTATGTACATCTGATATTGTTTTTGAAGTTTTTGAACTTGAAAGTGAAGATTGGACATAAAATAATAAGCATTTTAATATTATGTTGAATATTTAATTTTTGGACAGCAAAATTCTATTTAATCATAGCCTACCATGTCATTTAGTTTTTAAGTATTTTTAAATTAATTATCAATAGACAACACCTAATATTATATAAAGATATGCAGGTAGTTATCCATAGTTATCTTATAAGTCTCAATAATATAATGCTATAATCTAATAAGTAGTATAACACTCACCTTGGGAGAACATAAAAATCAAACGGAAAGAAAGAATAAAGCCATTCATCCTTGATTGATTGATCAGTGATTCTGATGTGACCATCCATTACGGCATAACAATAGGTTAACTGATAAGTTTTAGTAATTTGTGCAAAACGATTGACAACTGTTGAACAACATAAACGTAATGGGCTCAATCTACTTGTGACTATTTTAGATAGATTTAAATTTTCCATGAATTTTAGATCTGTAACAAAAAAAGTAGAATATAAATACAAAATATGCAATAGCAATCATAATTATATTTAAGCAATTTCTCACTTCTTTTACTATCCATCAGATCATGATGCCTAAAAGAAATAATGTAGAACAACGATTGGCACATTGAATAAAACACTGCATGCCATCTTAACAAATCTTCATTTACTACTTTAACTGATTTATCTACTCTATTTATATAGTTAATACACCATGTAGACATTTCAAAAATAGTATTTTTCAGAACACTAAAACAAATTAAATGTTTTGTTAAAATAATTTTATAATTATTTTTGGTAGAATGTGAAGGTCATCAAAGTTTATTACCTATTTGATATGAATGGTGCTCTGCAAAGAAAACTAGCTAAATAACCAGCTGCGGCCTGCCGTATAGTTGATGATGATGACACATCACAACATTTTTTCCATAGCCAATTGCTAAAATTTTCAGCTAGTGTGGTTTTAAAACTAAGAAAATAGTATATTACATATTGAATATGACTGCTGTTATATGTTGGGAGAATTTCACTTTCAAATACTGATAACAAGTCGTGGTATAATAATTTAGTATCATTCCACCTGAATAAAAAAAATAGTAGTAATTAATTTATGAAGAATAGATTTAAATATCAATGTAATAATCAAAGAATGTTAATTGCTCTGATTGTACTTACAATAATCCACCATCGGGATCATGACAAGTACTATTCGTATACATAAATATCCTTCTTAGGCAAACATCTAGTGTATGAGAAAAACTTTCTGCTTCTAACTTGTCAGGATCTACTTGCATACATTCCCCATCGACATCCATAGGGAATATGTCTTCGATTCCAACATTTACATTAGATTCGAGCCTATTTAATTCTTCTTTGGGTATGTGAACATCAATTTC